CCCACTATCTTCCCAAACTACCCTTAAATACACCCCAAACTGAAAAAAATAAGAAATAAAAGAGATTTTCTATTTAAACCCTACAATTTTCTTTGTTCCCAGCAGAAAAAAACACAAACAAATAGAACCCTAAACCCGAAATTTAATACTTTCTAGAGAAAGAGAACAACTTTACCTCTCTCCAAGAACTGTAACTGGAATTCCAACACTTGTGTATTGTTGAGTTGATAATCAACAAGCCTTTCCATCAACTCCCTCGCATATTTAAAGAGGTAGGCTCGTTAATTTTCTACGTCTTTAAAAGAGAAGAGTAATATGGCAATATGATGTAGATGAGTTTCTATTTTTGTAAAACTTGATATGAAGAGTGGTGGGGTGTGGGGTGTGTGTATAGATGTACTAGGGTTAATTATTAAGTTGGATGACCTTTTTTGTCTTTTTACACAATAATAAAACTTACAGCTTAATGATTTAAGTATTGGGGTGAACAAAGAGAAGTGCGGGGTTTAAATAGAAAATCTCTTAAAAAAGAGAGATACATATTAAAGGGTATAGCCGCGCGGCTATACTTTGAAGATATTCTATTTATGCAGTATAGCGGCCCCGCTATACGCTTTTAATATATACACCAACAATAAAAATATCAATATGGATTTCTCTGTTGGCTTAGCTTTTGAGGTGCCCTTTGTGAACACCCCACATCGAAAATCCACTCCTACAGAGGTCTTTATAAACAAAGCACTATGATGGTTTGGTAAGTGTGGCTTGAGTCCCCTAGACCCCTAAAAAAACGTTGTTTTCTGCTGTAAAACTGGATTACATCTTCCAATGTAACAACACAAACAGGTTTTCCTTACATTTTCTTAATGTCATGCAAACTAAACTTCAGTTTTGAACATAGGAGACAGTAAGTGATGGGGCGGACTCATTTAAAATGTTTAATATTAGATAGAAAGCAGTGTTACAGTAGCAATCTAGTATGAAGAGTGGTGTTCAAGTAAATATAACGAGCAACAATATTAAAATGTTTAATATTAGATGGGCTGGTTTTTGTTTTAATTATTAACTTCAGGGTCCAGGGTTCAAGTCACAGAGAGGGCACACTTGGGTTTTTTTAAAATATTTTTTTTATTTTTAAGTGTTTTCACCTGTTAATCTTACTTTGATGCTTTTGTCATTAAATTAGCTTGGCTATAGGCCCGGTTTTGGATTTGGCACTGATTAATAATAATTATATTAATAAAAAACTTGGGCCTTGGGGCTCTTAGGCTTTGGAGAAATTTAATTAAGGCACCCAAATGAAAATAAGTAATTTTTTTTTTTTTGAAATATCCTTTCAATTTAAATTCGAATAAAATTAGGTTTATAACTGCCGTGGTTTGAAATTGAAAAAAATAATTTAAAATAATTAATGAATATTTATTGAGTAATTTTTGAAATATCCTTATGCGTTCTGCAGGTTATGAAATTACAATCAGAGATAGATGGACAACAAACACTAAACAGGTTTCTGCATTGTGCTCTTCATGGAGCTCTGCTGTCACATCCATGCCTTTTATCATTGCTTCCACCTCAGGTATACAAGAGAGAGAGAGAGAGAGAGAGAGAGAGAGAGTGTGTGTGTGTGTGTGTGAGAGAGAGAGAGAGCGCGTTAGTGTGTGTGTGTGTGAGCGCGCGTTTTGTGTGTGTGTCAGAGCGCGCATTTGTGTTTGTGTGTGATGTGTAATTAAGTGGAATTGATTTTTGAGAAAAGGCTCTACAATATGCAGGTTCAGGTGCTATTTTCAGAGCTGGCAATGGTGGAAGAAGAGATTAGTAGGCTGGAAAGAAAAGTTGAAGAGCTGAAATTGAGGTTGTACCAAGAGAGGGAACATACCAAAGAATGGGAAGTGCAGAGGAGGCAAGGGCAACAGAATCACTTGCTGTGCTGAGTGGGAAATCAATCAGTGCTCAATTAAGAGAGATGTAGTAGATCCCAGAACAATGAGGCATTGAGAAAAGAAAGAAGGATGAAGAATAGAAGAGCCTCTGTGGATTCTGCATCAGATTTCCAAAGGTGGAATTTCCCAAAGTCGGATGGTAAACTGCTTATTTATCTCATATGAAGAAGAATGTGGATATTGAAACACTTTTTTTTTTTCCTTGGTTTCTCAATGAGATTTTCCTTTCACAGTGAATAACGCAAAACTTGGCACCACCCCTTAGAAGGCACAATCAAATAATAAAAACAGATTTGTATTTCACCTAAGCAACTCATGATTTTTGGCGCAAAGACAAATTATCCAGTACAAATTTCCTTTATTTGTTTTTTTACATGTATCCATACTCCTTTTCAGTAACCAATGTAGTGATGTGAACCTTCCTTGCAATTTATGCGCCTACAATAGGAAAAATGGAAAAAAATTAGAAGCAAGAGAAATCGTAAAATTACACAATCTACAAATTTGAACAGCAAGAAAGAAAAAAACAGTAATTGGAATGAACTAAACAACCAAATAATGAGAGACCTTCAAAATACAACCAATCAAATTCTATGATGACAATTACCCAAATTGAAGTAAATAATTAAAGTTTCAGAATTCTAATAGTGTAACTAAAAAAGAAAATTATCGCTTTTCTTAAAAAAAGAGACATTACAATCATGAAGCATGAAACTTAAACTGAAAACAGAGTAGGAAAGAAAAAAATTGCAACCAAATGTTCCTACTGTAGGAAAAGGGACTAATATGGGCCTATAATTGGAAAAATGGAAATATTAGAAGCCTTTAATGCTTTTTATACAAAGAGAAAACATATATCCCACAAAAACATTACCAAATTTCATACAGCAACTCTGTACTTAAACTAACTCTTTACCCAAAAAAGTAAAAGAAAAGAAAAAGTAGAGCTATACTAATTATTTCTCCAAATCTCCAAAAAGACATTTTTTGTCCTCTTTAGGTTACTGTTTTTTTCACGCCAATCAAAACAGAGGCCCAGGCTACACGAAATACATGACTTGGAGTGGAGGCATGCATGGTTTCCCCATTCTGGTTCTTTTGACAACAACAACGACAACATGGGTTAACGCTGGAACTGGAACTGGAAGTGGAAGTATATCAGTTTCCTCACTGTAATTTCATACGTGGCCATGTTTATTGTTGCTTCATTGTTCGTTTCGGCCAACAACATGTGCTTAGGCTGCTGGCAAGTATTTTAATCCCCCTGTTCTTGTCCTTTTTTCTATATTTAATTGTAATTAATCTGATTATTTTAATTATTAACATACGTGGCCATGTTTATTGTTGCTTCATTGTTCGTTTCGGCCAACAACATGTGCTTAGGCTGCTGGCAAGTATTTTAATCGCCCTGTTCTTGTCCTTTTTTCTATATTTAATTGTAATTAATCTGATTATTTTAATTAGAACTATTTTACGCGGAGACAGAGAGAGATGAAGTCAACACTGTATGTATGTACGAGGACTTGTTCAATTAAACGAGTCTCAGATCTCTCACATGATCGTCATTATAGATCTATTCTATTAAGACTATATTATAAAGAAGAAGAAGAAAAAAAAACATATCTTATAGACTCGTAGTATGAACACTCTCCTATCCTAGTCCACGCAATATGTTAGGTATGCGCATGATTTTGTCGTAATATTTTTTCCTCTTTATATATGAAACATTGAAGTCAAGAAATCAATGAAAGTGGAAAACCATCGGATATGAAACCCCGTAACGGGCTCCTTGGCACCGGCGACCCACACGAGTAAACCGCCCTGCCTTTCGTTGGTCGACATTGTTTCTGCTGCGGTAATAATCTTTCTATAAACTCTCAGATCTAGTTTTTTGTTCAATTTACAAATAAAAAACTTGGAAAATGTCGAACTAACATAAGTTAATTGTGATAAGATTTTGGTACTTGTTGGGTTGTGTTGTGAAGAATCGAGAATGGCGGATCTTATTGCAGGGGCGGCCGTAGGACTAATATTTTCAGAGCTGTATAAGGCCGTTGAGAATCTGATACAAAAGAATAAGAAGTTCCGCACCCACCTTACAGCAATCAAGGCCACCGTAGACTCTTTGAAACCATTGATCGACCAGACGGAGAAGCAAAACAAGGAACTGAATCTCTCAAACGAGGAGACAGATAAGTTGAAAAACATAATCTCCGACGGCATAAAACTGGTCGGCGACTGCTCCAAGAAGCCAAAGTTGTACAGTACGGCACACTATACAGCTAAGCTCACCAAATTGGACGAGGATCTCAAAGGGAAGTTGGAAATAATCAAGGTGCAGGGGCTGAGGGATGTGAAGGAGACGCTGATTATTGTTACGGAAATAAAGAAGTTGATCAACCAATTACAAGCCTCGTGGTTATTATTGGTGCTCATAATTTTTGTTATTTTGGTAACTAGGGTCATGTTTAGTGTTCCTGGAGGAGTGAGAGAGCAGCAGCTTGCAACATCATTGGCGTCAGTGCCTGACGGCGGTATAATATTGTCCCGTCCGGCGCGGTTGCAGTTAGGTTATTTTGTGGTCTGGTTATTTGGAAAACTTCTTGTGTATGCCGTCTATGTGGTCTTCGTTTTTATGGCCATTGGGATCGTCTGTATTTGCGTCGAAGCTATTCAAGATCAGTATCGACTGGGTTTCTCTGGCCTGAAGCTCCCGGAATGGGATGAGCTTCGGGAATTGGCTAAGATAATTGTCGGGCTGTGTATGTTCCTCTATCTTCTTAAGGGTCTTTTGGGGTTGACCAACTGGATTAATCATCAACTGTGATTCCATGAAATTGAATTGAGTTGAAATTGAGTTAGGTGTTGGGCTTTTATTTGCTATCTTTTGGTTATTTTCAGTAGACTTGAGTTGTTTTCGGCTGGCCGTGGCCTTTTGGATTTGGGCCTCATTATTAATTTAATAGCGCCATATTTTCACTTTCTAATTGATTTTTCATTTTTTTAAATTTCTTCATTGGCTAAAAAAAAAAATTGTGAATATTTCAGTGTACTGCATGGGAGCCTTTCCTCTTTTATGAGTAATTGGTTTATTTATTTATCCATGTATGCATGATGCTCTTTTAAGTGAATATTAGGGATTGAATAATGATGATCAAAACTGTCATTCATTAAGAGTTTAATTTCAGTAGCTGCTTTATTTGCAAGTGTTGCTTGGGAAGTGAGCGTATACATTACAATAATTTCTGAAGTATTACTCTTGACCTTTGGGTAGAAATTTTTAAAAGTGCTTATGAGTTATAAAATACGTATTTTTGAAGAAGCACTTCCAAATAACTTCCAATTGGGGGCTATCAAAAAGTCCATTAGGAATACTGAGCGTGTTTCAATTTATTTTTTTTATTTTTTTATTTTAGAATTAAAAAAAATAATGAGTAGTTTTTTTTCCAAGAGTATAATAAGTAGTTTTGTTCCATAAAAATAGAATTCATTATCTGATTTTGTTTTTAATTTTTAATTTTTTAATACGAAAAAATGTGAATTTATCAAATTATTCTAATTTAATTAATAATTTCAATTCTGAATGTTGGGCTTGATGAAATCCCCTTTTAGTGTTTTTTTTTTTTTTTTGTGGGTTGGGAATCTCCTTTGGGTTAACAATCAAACAAGAGGTAAGCCTTTTCGACTCCTGGAACCGTATGCGCTGTTGTGTGCTCCCAACAGTCCAAGGCTCCACGCAAGAAAGTGACTCTATATGAAGAAGGCTTGCATGGTTTCCACGTTTCCAATACTCAGATCCATACGTGTAAGCCCAAACACCAGTCACCCTTTAAGCATATCTCAACTAACCGCTTCAAAATCAACATTTCAAAATTAGCGTGTCCTGCTCTTCATCTTCATCTTCAGCTTGAGCTTTGCTCCAATCATCAACATCATCATCAACATGTCTGATACATCTCAATCTTCAGATACTTTGAGAGATATAATCCTGTGGAGGAAGAAGAGGCAGTGTTTGCTGACTCTTTTGACAGCAACAGCAACATGGGTTTTACTCCAAGTCTACCAATTCAACTTCCTCACTCTGATTTCATACCTGGCCATATTCATTGTTGCTTCGTTGTTCCTTACAGGCAACTTGCTCAGGCTTCTTGGCAAGTAAGTGAGCTAAGCTCCCCTGAAGATCCCCTGCTCTTGTTCTTTTTATAATACTTGTGTTGTGTAACGAGTTTTGCATTTTAATTTGCTTTATTTTCAGAGAGCCTCCAGACTTGTCAAGAGTGGGAATTTCGGAGAAGTCGGCTTTGGAGATGGGCAATAACTTTCGAGCATGGGTTGAAGAGGGAATTCGATGGATGTTTTGGGTTGCTGCAGAGAGAGAGTGGTTTGTATTTGTTGGAACTGTCTCTGGTTTGTGGCTAGTCTCCCGTGTAGCAAGATCCGTCGATCTTCTTACCCTTCTATATATAGGTAATGACTAATAAAAAGGAAACTCACTTACCTAACTAATTTCATGTGTAGTCCGAATTCAGTCTGATAAGATAAGTTAAAAGACACAATAATATAAGTTAGTGTCACAAAATTTGTTCCTTTTTATGTTAACAAACATGTTAGTACGTGCTTTATTTGTAATAAATAATGAAATCATGATAGACTTGGAATAAATGGTACACAGAGAATGCGGAAAATTTGATGACCCTAGCAATACTAGTTTGTATATAATTTGGGTGGTTTTGCATGTAGGTATTGTCACGGGCATGACAGTTCCAGCAATGTATGTCAAGTACCAGGACAAGATAGAGAGGGGCGAGGAGAAGTTAAAGGCACAATTGAAAAGGTATTACGACACGTTTGATGAGAAGGTAGTGAAGAAGATACAGAACAAGGTGACAGTCGGGGAAGAGAAGGAGAAGAAGGTTGAGTAGCTGCTAATTATAATTTGCATGCCTTGCTTGGAAATTAATTGCATGTAAAATTTCTCGAGTAGGTATCTTGACCTTGTGAGCCAGCTTAGTTGTAAATTGTGAATCACTCATTGATCAAGCCCATTCCTTGATCTTGTGTATTCTATATATGGTATACCCGTGTAGTTATATTTCACGAAAAATAAATCAAACAAATAATGCTTCCTGTTTCCCATACGTCCAACTCCTCACACTCGTTTACCTTCTCTCATTCATAACCTCTGTGTAAATTGTAATTTCCAAATTTCCCCGTTACCCATTATTTCGATTTCTTGCACTACACTCAAGTTGGGAAGTGAAGGAGAAGGAGGAGGTTCAGTAGCTTGGAAAGTTTTCATGCATTTTACAATTTTCCTTTTCTCTTTTGGAGTCTTGACCTTGTCAGCAATTTAGCTGTATACAGAGCATGTAGTCAAATTTCTTCTAGATCAAGTCCTGGCTTTGATCTTGTCTTTTCCGTGTGGTATTAGACCAAGTCCATGCCGCTTGATCTTGTCTTTCCAATAATTATATGGTAAGTAATATCGAGCCTACCAAAAACACTCCTATAAATAACACGAGCATTGCTCCTTTATTTCTCAAACTAATTAATGCTGGTTCTTCTTTAAAAAAAAAGGTAGCAACTATGGAAAAAATCCTTATAGATGCTACTATAGGACGCGCATTAGAGGCGCTACTAGGAGCTGTTTCACAAGCAAGGGAGAGAGCACACATGTATGAGTCTATTCTTGCACAACTAGAATTCACAATTCAAACCATCACTCCAAAAATCAGTGAAATCGATCGTCTTTCTGAAGAAGATATCCCAGACGATGTCATTTACCGAATACGTCTACAGCTGATTCGAGGCAAGGAACTAGTAGATAAGTGCTCGAATGCAGGTTGCTGCAACTTATGGAAGAGCCAAAAGTACTACAAGAAGCTCCAAGAGTTGGATGACTCTCTTCGGAGGCTGATTACTGTTGATTTGCAAGTTAAGGTGGCACTGGATGTTATAAGGATTTCGACTGAGATGAAGGAATTGTGTAGGAGATGGGATCAAAAGAATCAAATGGATGTGCATGGGGATGGCAGGGGTTGGATTTTCAACGTAAGTGGAAGTAAAGTTTTGGGTAAGTTTTCTGGATTGAAGAGGCTTGTGCAGAAGTCTGCACCAAAGCGAATCCTTATGAATTTGGTTACATGTGGGGCTATCACAGAATAAATCTATAGCAGCTTCTGTCCCAAAAACTAGGGATTGAATATTGTGTAAAATTAGTGTTATGAATCTTTGATGTTGGTGTTAAAGTAATAAAATGATGCAAATCAAATCCCTTCAATGCAATTGGAGGGAACCAAAAGTCAAGGAGACCTTAGAAATTGCATTTTTTTCAATGGCCAACATGCTGTACTTTAACTATTGGAAGAACCCTATTAAAAAAGACAATTGGAATGTGATGTAACTAATCCATCTTAACTGAGTAACTTTTCAGTAGTAACTTTTCAGTATGACAGTCACACCGTCACGTAGTGTTATCAATTCACTCATGGTGTTAAAGTAATAAAATGATGCAAATCAAATCCCTTCAATGCAATTGGAGGGAACCAAAAGTCAAGGAGACCTTAGAAATTGCATTTTTTTCAATGGCCAACATGCTGTACTTTAACTATTGGAAGAACCCTATTAAAAAAGACAATTGGAATGTGATGTAACTAATCCATCTTAACTGAGTAACTTTTCAGTATGACAGTCACACCGTCACGTAGTGTTATCAATTCACTCATATTGTAACACGTGTATTTATTTATTAATAATTAATCATTTTCTTATGAAATAAGGTATCCAATACCTTATTTTCTTCTATCTTACTCGTTTGCAAATCAAATGAAAACTTGAATCTATGGTTTTGACACATATATATGTCACGAGAACTTAACAGGATGTTAAAAGGATTTTGGCTGAGATGAACGCCCTGTGTAGAGATGGGATCAAATGGATGTTCATCAAGGGTGAAGTAAAGTTCTAAGTACGGTTTCTGGATTGAAGAGTGCTTGTGCAGACTGTCCAGTCAGCACCAAAGCGAGTTCTTCTGATTCTGAATTTGGTTACATGTGGTTCTTTGTCAGATTAAACAGCAGCTGCTGTCCAAACTCAAAGACATTGGATTGAAAAATAACATAATTAATGTTCTATAATTACGAAATTACTATTTAGTTATTATTATTATTTTATTTGCACACCAGCAAAGGATTGATTGTGGAAACTAGTAGTAAGACAAGGTTCCTTATTCACTTAATATATATTATTAATATTGCCAGAAGTATCTTACTCCTTAGCAATACAGACGACCTGCTTACCAACATTGCGGCCATAGAAAATTCCAACAAGAGCAGATGAGGCATTCTCCAGCCCCTGAGCAATATCTTCAACATAGACCAGCTTCCCTTCCTGCAAGTATTTGATACATAACTCGACCAACTCTGGATAAACATGCCTGAAATCGGTTTCAGCAAACCCTTTCATCTCGATCCGCTTCATGATCAGGCTAAACATATTGTGTACACCCTCTGGTTTCTCAATATTGTATTGAGAAATCATGCCACAGAGTGCAATCCGGCCATGAACTTTCATGTGCAAGATAACTTCATCAAGCATGTGGCCACCCACATTGTCAAAGTAAATGTCAATGCCTTGCGGGAAGTACCTTCTTAATGCCGAACCCAAATCATACTCCTCTTTGTAGTTAAATGCTTCATCAAACCCCATCTTGTGCTTTAAGAGATCAACCTTCTCTTTAGTGCTGGCACTTCCAACAACATAGCAACCCATAAGTTTGGCAAATTGACCAACAAGTTGACCAACTCCTCCTGATGCAGAAGAAACATACACACAATCCCCTTCTTTGGGGTAGCATATTTTGTGAAATCCAGCATAAGCAGCAATTCCTGGCATGCCCAGAATGCCTGCATAGTATGAGAGGGGTACGTCGGTAAAAGAGATCTTGTTTAGGCTATCAGGGGTAGTGATCAAAGTGTACTCTTCCCATCCAATCATGCCCCAAACAAACTCACCTTCTTTGAAGCTTGGATGTGTGGACTCTATGACTTTGGACACGCCATATCCCACAAGGACAGAGCCAGAGGTGAACGACTGGACAATAGTCCCGGAATGGGAGATATGATCGGACATGCGGTGGCGCATGTAAGGATCACAGGAGAGGTATAGGTTCTTTAGAAGAACAGCAGATGATGTGGAACCATGGGAAAGGGTGCAACTGGTTGTAGAGGATCGCAATCCAAAGTCACTCTCTTTTGGGTACCCAGTTACATAGTGATTCAAGACAATCTGTTTGTTGGGAATGAGCTTCTTCATCATTGTCCTTTTCTCTTCATCTCCCTTGTTCATCTTTATTGTTTCTGGCTTCCTAATTTCCTCCTAAGATATGGAGGTATGCATGTGGGTGGGTAAAGCAAGTAAAGAGTAGGTGTAGCAAGTGGGTGGGTGAAGTGAAAGAAGGGTAATGCTAGGCTTATCACATTTTTATACCACATTATGTACCACATATCTAATAGAGTTGGTGCCCACCAATACAATGGGGCCCATCTCTATTAGAGAGGTGGTACACAATGTGGTAGAAAAATGTGGTAAGCCTAACATTTTATGTGAAAGATTTAATGATAGAGTGTAATAAAGCATGGTATGTTCCTTTTGAGAACTTCTATGTAAAGTCAAGTCATGAGCATTTTCCTTCTGTGTTGTTTTTTGTTTGTTTGTTTTTATTTTACATGGCGGCAAAGCAAAATGTATATGGTAGAATATTTTAGAAAAAGTGACAAGTGAATGGCTAAAGTATGGCGGTGGAAGAAATCTCTAGAGCATGACTACAAACATGTGGTTGGGAGAAAGTGCCCAAGCCGGTGGACCAAGGCTAAGTCGGCAAACAATCACAATGAAATGTGGAGTGAACCAATAAACTCCCAACCTATGTGGGAGCTACAAGCTACCCGACCCAAACTAAGTCATGCACGTGGGGGAGTCAACTAATAGAATCCCCAATCTATGTGGGAGCAAACAAGCTACCCAAATCTAAGCTAGTAAGCTAGCAACCTAAACTAGTTAATCAACTAAAGGTGGTGGGATTTAACCACTACAACTCCCAATCCATGAGGAAACTACACGTGAGCTACCCAACTTATGGAAGAAGCTTGAAGACAAGAGCTCAAGCTAGGGCCAAATAGCCCAAACTAATCTAAGCCAAGCGTGATGGCCAAAAAACCAATAAACTATGAAGAAGACCAATTAGCCTAACCATATGTACACTAAGTTATAACTATTCTCCTCCAATGTAATAAAATCACTTTGTCTCAACTATTGCTCTATTGTCTTAAACCCCTTCATCACATCACATAAATCAACAATGGTATCAGAGTGTCACAAACACTCATCACACACCTCCTAAAATTCCAACAGTTTTTCGTTCGTTACGTGAATACGAATTGCTCTAGAGTCCTTAAGAAAACTGTATATTTTCATACGTATTTAGTTCTTTCCTAAAAGTATTAGACCATGCAAGAGGGCCTAAGTACTTTTGCATTACAAGATTGATAGTATTGTCGTTTCAATAAATAACCATGTGAGTGGCCACAAATAACTTTAAATAAAGGGTAGAATAATGTACCGAGTCTCATAAACTATAAAGATATGCTTTGAATTTCATTGGTGATGTTTGATTGGCCATATGAGGACGCTTGATGTTGAAAGATGTAGCTGCAAACAATTCTCAAGTCTGAATGGGTATTGGTTCCATTCTTCTCATACGATCAAACAATGAAGCCTAATTGATGTTAATACGGCGATTTACCATTGAGGCCTCATTTAAAGCAGTCCCCAGCTATTTCCAAGACCTCATAGCAGACCGATAAACTCGGATTTCAATTTCTTTCTCCTAAGCTCAATCAATCCACCATATGTGATCTAGTCCTTTTGACTCAGAACAATACGAAGAAAATTCCCAGATCGCATTCTGTGGTAGGACTCAAATGCTTTACAGACGACTCGGTGATTCATATTACCAATAGTCTCGACATGAGCAGTTCCCATCCTCAAAACAATGGAACCGATTTGAATCCCGCACTATTATTTTTCTGTTAGCAATCTTAGAAATAAATTTAATTGCAGTATGGCAATCTACACATGTTCTTAAATTCTTAAAAACCTTGATTGGTGTTCCTGGTGGAGTAGAAATGATGCCAAACGCAACTGCAAGCTTCTCACTGTGGTAGGAGAGGTTCTGCTCTTTCTGCTCCTCCTCAACATCATGCAGCACAAAATTTGTGTCGGGGACATACCCTTCTTCCTTCATCCTCTTTGAAAGCTCATGCAAAAAGAAATGTATTTCATCATATCTCAGGTGGGACTTGTCTCCTACTAAGAAAACATGCACCTCTCTCTTGATCTCAATCCAACTCAAACCTGGTTTCTTTATTACCCCTCTTTCATCCATTGTTTTTCTGACCTTTGTTACTTCATCCCACATGCCACCAGTAGCATAAATGTTGGCTAGAGTAATATAAGTAGCAGGATTCTCAGGTTCTATCTCAAACAATGCTTCTGCAGCTCGCTTTGCCAGCTTGAGGTTTCCATGAATTCTACAACCACCAATTAAGGAAGCCCACAAGAACTTATCCGGCTTCATTGGCATTTTATCGATAAAATTCTCAGCTTCTTCAAATTGGCCAGCTCGAGCCAATAAATCAACTACACAGGCATAGTGATCAGCAGTATGTGCTAAACCATGTTTTGCCTTAATTGAATGGAAATATTCAAGTCCTTTTTCAACTAAGCCAGCATGAGTACAAGCGGAAAGAACACCTACAAAAGTAATGTGATCAGGCTTAGTACCTGATTTAAGTAACAATTCAAACAACTGAAGAGCCTCATAAGGTTGACCATTCTGAGCATATCCGACGATCAGGGAAGTCCATGAAACCACATCTGGATGGGGCATCCCTTTAAACACCTTATTTGCATTCACTGTGTTTCCACACTTCGAATACATATGAACAAGGGCACTTGATGCAAACGACAAGGGGTCAAATCCTATCCGTGTCATGTACCCATGAACTTGCTTGCCCAGGTTCTCAGCGGCATGATGAGCGCAGGCATTCAAAACCCCTGCAAAGGTGAAATCATTCGGCCTAATGCCCGACTTCATCAACTCCGAGAACAAAGCAAATCCCTCTTCCCTCTTCCCATCCTCAAAATATCTATCAATAATGGCTGTCCACGAAACAACGTCTCGATTCACCATCTTATCAAAAATGCGCTTAGCTTCCTCTATACTCCCACATTTTCCATACATATCTGACAAGGCACTCCAAACCACCTCATCATAGTCCAACCCAGTTCGCATTATATAACCATGAATCTCCTTCCCCAATCTTAAACTCTGGATGGCTGCAGACGCAGCTAGAGCACTAGACACGGTGAACTTATTAGACTTTGAATTCTCGTGCCTTTGCATAGTCCTATACAACTGCAAAGCCTCTTTAGGCCTTTCATGGCGAACATACCCTGATATCATTGCGGTCCAAGAAAAATTATCTTTCTCAGGCATTTCACCAAACAGTTTCCTAGCTTCACCAAGCTGCCCTACTTTGGCATACCCAGAAATCATAGTATTCCAAGAACACAAATCTCTCTCAGCCATTTCATCAAAAACCTTCTGGGCATCCACAAGACTCCCACATTTTGCATACAAATCAATTAAACGATTACAAATGAACAGCCCGGGCACGAACCCAGACACTTTTGTGTGGGCATGGACCAATTTGCCCTGCACAAGAGCTCGTTGTTGAAGACAAAGCTGCAACAGGGTCAAGTATATAGAAGCAGAGGGCCTATCTATTCGGTTGAGCAACTGAACCGCTTCTGCCAAGCGCTTTTGCTCGCAAAGAATGTCTATGGCTTCTTTGAATTTTCCGTCCTTGCACAAGCGGCTTATGAGGCCGTCTTTGGTGTTGGACTTGAAGAAAGTTTTCTCAATTAGAGGTTTGTTTAGTTGGGTTTGGGAAGATGATGAATGGGTTCTGTTAAAGCAAATCAGAGAAAAGGATCTGGAAATTTTGAGAGTCAAGGATTTCATGGCGGCCGTGGTGGAAAGCAAAGTTTGATTCTTTGAAGATTTAAGACGACTTCAATTTTTTCGCGCCAAGGGAAAAACTTTTATGGGCCAAAGTTAATAAAATGATCCAACTTTGGCTAATTGGGTCTCAGAAATTTTTGGGGCAAAGTTGATAAAATGGGTTGAAGTCTTTTCGTTGCAGTTTGGTTGTTGGGCTTGTTGGGTAAATTTTTACTCATTTTTATTAATTTTTTTTACCAGAAAAGGCACTTTGTAGGTAGGTAGGTATGAAAGAAACCGAACATGAAGATATTGGGTCGGTTGACGCAACATCACTGTCTTCCAAAAAAAACAAAGCATGTGTTTCGTCATTCTTCCTCCTCCGTGTGTTTTGATTGAAGACTTGGAAGTGAGTCGTCTGTATGAAGAACAAGGAATGGAGACTGGGTTTACGGCAGGAAGATTCTTTGCCGAAAGAGAGAAGAAACCGCGCATTAATTCATAGCTACGGTTTTTGGTCAATGGAGTTTAAAAAAATAGATGCAGGGTGGCGGTGGTGGTGGTTCCATCCAATTTCTAGGTCTCATCTCATCAGGTTAAGGGATTCAACGTGAATGTTACTGTTTCAATTATATTATTGGTTACTTTGGTATTATTTAATAATATTAATATTAAGACATAAATTATATTATACCACTGCTGATTAGTTCAGATATTTTATTTAATCTTTGGCTTATCAATGCATTGTAGTTGTTAAAACTCTTGTCCTCAGCTTTCAATGGGATAACGATATTTTCTAGAAAGAGTAGGGTAGGAAGCTGCTTGAAGGCTAAGCATCATGTGCTTGGTCAGTCAATGGGGGGCAAAGTCAATGGATGGGGTGGGGGGAGAGGGGCTAACTCGGAAATTCTGAGCTTCCACTTGACGGAAGAATCAATTCTTCCTTATCTTGGGTATTTATCACCATTTACAAATCAAGAGAACATTGAGTTTTTCCATACCAACATTGAGTTTTTCATACCACTCTGTTCTCTTGTCTTCAACTTTAGATTGAAATTATACAATTTCAAGTTAGTTTTCGGGTTTTGGTGGCGTGGTGGGTTTTGTTGTAAAGAGTCTAGAATGGATCTTTTTGCCGGGGGTGCTGTAGGAACATTGTTCACTGTGCTGTATGAAGTTGTTAAGGATGTGAAGGACAAGACCACGATTTTTAAATCCCTCCTCGGAGATCTCAAATCCACGCTAGATTCTTTGAAACCGCTGATGGAAGATATAGAAAAGTATAACAATTTGATGGATCGTCCAAAGGAGGAACTAGAAAATTTCAAGGAAAAAATGAAGAATGGTGCTGTGCTTGTTCGCAAGTGCTCCACCGTTAGCCCGTGGAATACCTACAAGAAGTATAAGTATGCCAAAAAGCTTCTTGATTTGGACCAATGTCTGAATAGACTGTTAACCATACTGAACGTTGGGGGAGTAAGGGATGGGAAGGAGACCTTGTATAGGGTAATGAACATTGAAGAGAAAATTGATAAATTGCAAATAAAAGAAGAGGTTGTGTTGCCAAAACAATTGGACATTAAAGCTTGGTGTGCAGTACCTGAACTTCCACCTGTTACTGTCGGATTGGACGAGCCTTTGAGGGATTTGAAGAAAAAGCTTCTTAAGGACGATGTGTCAATGCTTGTGCTGACTGCTCATGGAGGATCCGGGAAAACCACATTGGCAACAAAGTTCTGTCGTGATAAGGAAGTCAAAGGTATGATTGCATTTTCTGTTTTATTTGTTCCCTCTATTGGTAAACAGTAACTATCAATACTTGTATTGTATGTTTCTTTGTTTGCACAATGGTACACAGATTTATATGACAGATTTCTTATATTGTATTTTGATAGATAAATTCAACAACAGTATCTACTTTGTCATTGTTTCGAAAAAGCCCAACTTAGACGTTGTAGAAGAAGTATATCAAAGCATGAATTCAGAGGATGCAAGACAAAATCCTCTGTTGTTGGTCTTGGATGATGTTTGGTTAGGATCCGAATCTCTTCTTCAGAAATTTGATGAATTGAAAAGGCCAAATGACAAGATTTTGGTGACATCAAGATCTGAGTTTCCAGGATTTGGTACTCCGTATTTTCTACAATCATTGAATGATAAAGATTCAATGACTCTTTTTCATCATTCAGCATCTCTGGAAAACAGGAGCTCTAGTGTTCCAGAAGATCTTCTGAGAAAGGTGATTTCTTACTCTGCAATCTACGCCATATATGCTTATTTATGCCTCAAATATTAAAGGGGGAACAAAGTAGGGAAATAAATTTTTTTCGTCTTTTATGCGAAGTACCCATACACACAAATGAATGATCAGTTATGCCTATTTTGCTTGTGAAAACTAAAATAAGAATGAAGAAAAGTAGATACTAGGTAGTCATTTAACGCTTTTCTCATCTTCATGAAACCATTGAGTTGTTTTAAGAAACTTGAACATTCGGTCTGCAAGTCAGATAGTAATTCACTTCATTTGGAACAATTGAACTGCAGATAGTAGAGCGCTGTAACGGATTTCCGCTTGCCATTACAGTGACCGGAAACTCACTTCGCGGACGAGCTATAGAGTTCTGGCGTAAAAGACTCAGAGACTGGTCTAAAAGTTCTATTCTTGATATTGAGACTGTGTTGCTTCTTCGCCTTCAAAGTAGCATAGATGCCTTGGATGAAGAAGATGCTATCATCAAAGAATGTTTCATGGACCTTGGTTCATTTCCTGAAGACCAAAGAATCCCTGCTGCTGCCGTCATTGATATGTGGGCAGAGTTATATGAGCTAGATGAAGACTTTCTGTCTATTGCAAACCTCCGCGAGCTCACCACTAGAAGTCTGGCAAATCTTGTGATCACCAGGTATGCAGGGGTTCTATATCTTTTATGTATAGTATTCTCATTCAAATTTCCATATTCACACGAACAATTGCTAACCTTAATTTACAATTGCAATCTGTATGCTGAAGAAATATCTTTTAAGCGACTAATCTTTTATTTCCAGGAAGGAGAATATGGAGATGGTGGATGACTACTACGTTGAACACTTCGTTACCCAGCATGATATACTTAGAGAGCTGGCTGTCTATAACGCGAAACTAGACCCAATAGAACAGAGAAAAAGACTGATTGTAGACATAAGTGGAGACAATGAACCCAAGTGGTTGACAGAACAGAAGTCTCAACCCATCAAGGCTCGCCTCTTATCTATCTCCTCTGGTTGTTCCATCTCTCTCGCTCTCTTTTTTTTAGAAAATTCAGATGTATGAAATCATGCACACATGCACATGTACCCGCCCGCACTCATGACAAGCACACAAACTAAGATTTGAGTAGAACTTTCATTTAATTTCCCTCCACAGCTCATTTCTTGTAGCATATTTTTTGCAGATGGAGTGTTTTCAACAAAATGGCAGAGCATTCAACTACCAGAGGTTGAGGTCCTAGTTTTGAATATTCAGACAAAGAACTATGCCTTGCCTCAATTTGTGGAGAAAATTGACAAATTGAAAGTTCTAATAGTCACAAATTACGGTTCATTACCTGCTGAATTGAGTAATTTTGAGCTACTGGGTTCATTATCAAATCTGAAGAGAATCAGATTGGAGCGCATTTCGATTCCTTCCATAACCAAGAACCCCATAAAATTTCGGAGTCTAAAGAAAATATCTTTATTCATGTGTAACATCGGTCAAGCTTTGAGCAATTGTTCAGTCAAAATTTCGGATGCATTCCCAAATTTAGAGGAAATGAATATTGACTATTGCCATGATTTGGTGGAATTGCCAAACGAGGTCTGTGATCTTATTCATTTAAAGAAGCTCAGCATCACCAACTGCCATAATCTACATGCCTTGCCTGAACGGATTGGGAAGCTGGCCAATTTACAAGCGTTGAGGCTAAGGTCCTGTACAGACTTGGTAAAACTTCCAGGCTCGATAAAGAACCTTAAAAAGTTAGACTTTCTTGACATATCTGATTGCTTCAGCATTAGGGAGTTGCCTGAAGACATTGGTGAAATAAGCAATTTAAGAAATATCAACATGAGACAGTGCTCAAGATTGCAAGAGTTGCCTCTATCCGTTTTTTATCTCGAGCAGTTAAAGGAAGTGATATGTGATGAAGAGACAGGAAGTCTGTGGGAGCCCTTCTTGAACCGTCTCAGAAGCACACGCATAATGGTGGCCAAAGAAAATATCAACCTGAATTGGCTCCACTAGCTTCAATTTTGAGACCTGTCTTTTTCTTACAGAATGTTGGAGCAACTTCTTAATTTTCCTCTCGTGGTTGGAATTTTCTTGTTTGTTTTCTTGATGTTCTTTCAGAACAAGATGAAAATGTGTTTACTGCAAATTGTATTTGAAAGGTCTTCTGTTTTGTGAAATGCAATGAGTGTATGAGAATTTGTATTTACCAGTTTTTGCTTGTGAATTATTGCATCTTTCGTTTGGTTGCTTCAAACAGTTTATCTTATGCCTTTATCGTTTTTCTTCAAACTTGTCACATTCATTAATGAAAAACAATCTGACAGAAGTAGTACTTTGTTAAGGCTTTAATTATGATTTGTTGATGGTTAAATTTTGTGTAAATTCTTTAAGTGTTATGTAGGTTGCTTTGTTAAGGCTTTTGGAAGAATGGATGCATCAGCTTTTTTTGGAAGGATATTTATTATCTTTATGTGTATTTTTGTCATGGGTTGTAATATTTCATAAGTATAATTTGGATTTCTTGCTTTATTTGTGTGTGTGTGTGTGTGTGTGTGTGTTTTTTTTTTTTTTGGTAATGGTTTGTAAGACGTTATATTTCCTTTCCTTGGTTAGTTGATGATTGTGTGAATATGAGATTGATTTAATTGTTTAGAAACTTAGATTGGTTGATAATTGTGTGAATGTGGAATTGATTTAGTTGTTTAGAAACTTAGATTGGAATGATGTATTTTTACGGGTTATACTTAAATTTGCATGATTTCAAGATTTGAAAGAGAAGAAAAAAGTGATTTGGGCCTGTTAATAAACTTACTAGGTTTTGGCAATTTGACCAAAAAAAGAAAGGGATTTTGGCTCAAAGTAAATATGATTTAGGCTTTTGAAAAATGGTAAAATTGGGTTCAAGCCCAAACCGATCAAACTGCAGAATCGACTAGAAAACTATTACCCAATTGTGGTTCAGCCCAGTTTTGAGTTTCAACTTGGATTAGACCCAACCCAAGAACCGTGCCCAGCCCTAAGAAGTACAATTTTGGGTTGGCCGCTACCTGCATTGTGGTGGGTGAATAGGGGGGTTATTTTTCAGACCGTGGAATTTTCCTAGAAACGTTGGTGCAATTTCCCGGTTAAGTTGTAATTAAGTCTCCTAACAGAGTCAATCATATTTGAAATCCTCTTTTATCTTATCTTGCATGATTGCCAACAAAGAAAGAGAAAACTTTGTATTGCCAGTTTTTTTTTTTTTTGATGAAATTTATTGCCAGCTTTTGAGTCTCTGGTTTACTGTGCTTCTTGGCTTCCAAATTTAAGAGTGTCTCACTTTACCTTATTTCCCAATCTACCAAGATGCTGTTTTGTGCTCCTGTCTTAAAGTTGAGATGAAACTCAAACAAGTTTTCTGATTTTGGTGTTGAGTTTTGTTGCTAAGGATCAACAATGGGAGGAGCAGGGGAGCTTATTGGAGGGGCTGTTCTAGGAACACTATTTAGTGAGCTGTATGAAGGCCTTGAGAAGCTGATCATCAAGAATTTCAAATATAAAGACATCCTCAACGACTTCAAGTCAAGGTTAGACTCTTTAAAGCCAGTGATCGACCAGATAGAAGAATACAACACGGCAATGGATCGCCCAGAGCAGGAACTGAAAGACCTAAAAGAAGTGATGAAGAAGGGGATAGAGCTCGTCGGCAAGTGCTTTGAGGTTCGTGAGTGGCACATCTACAAAAAGTACAAATATGCCAACAAACTTCTTCAGTTGGATAAATCTCTCCAAGCACTTCTACAGGGACTGCATGTGCAGGGCATAAGGGATGTGAAGGAGAGCTCGGTTTCGGTGAGGAACATAGAGAAGGTGGTCAGCCGAATTGAATCAAGTTTGGTGTTACAAAATCAAGCTGAGACTGAAGTTTGGGGTGCAGCACCTGAACTTCCGGCGCTTGTAGTTGGGTTGGATTTTCCTTTGAAGGAGTTGAAGAGGAAGCTTCTTAATCTTAAAGATGGGGTGTCAATGCTTGTTCTGACTGCTCCTGGAGGATGTGGCAAGACCACTTTGGCAACAACATTTTGTCAAGATCAGGAAGTCGAAGGTATCTTTAATTCCTTTTCAATTGTGAACTTTGATCAAGAGTTGGTTTTATAGAAACATTTCTTGCTCTTTCTTCGCATATATACTAGGGCTGCAATTGTGAATGTTTCATCTTTGTAAATGGCAGCATTCTTATATTATATATGTTTTCTTTGGATAGATATATTCAGGGACAATATCTTCTTTGTCACGGTTTCGAAAAACCCCAACTTGGAATATATTGTACAAGAACTTCTTCAACGGACGGGTTCCACGCCACCTACTCTCGGAAACGAGGCAAGTACAGTAAAGTGGCTGCACCATTTTCTCAAGGAACGAGGACAAAATCCTTTACTGTTGGTCCTGGATGATGTTTGGTCTGGATCAGAATCCCTTCTGGAGAAGTTTGATCAAGTTAAAATGCCAAATTATAAGCTTTTGGTGACATCAAGGTCTGAATTTCCGAGATTTGGCTCTTCATATCATTTACAGTCATTGGATTATGACAATGCAATGAAACTTTTTCATCATTATGCATCTTTGGGAGATAAGAGCTCTCATATTCCACAAGATCTTTCAAGACAGGTACTTTTTAGTTGCAATGCACTATATATATATATATATATATATGCTTATTCATGCCTTACAAGAGGAGGAAAATAAATTATGTTCGGTTTTTACACAAAGCATCCATACAGACGAGTGAACACATCCATTTCACCATATCAAGTTGAGTAATCATGCATTTAAGCTTACTTGTGAAGTACAACTAAAATTAAAATAATGAAGCTTAGATAGTTATTTAATCATTTTCTCATCTTCAAGAAACCATTGAGACGATTTTCAGAGACTTGAATTTGGGTATGCGAGTCAAAAGGTAATTGATTTAATTCTTGAAAATTGAACTGCAGATAGTAGAGCGTTGTAAGGGATTTCCACTTGCCATTAAAGTGCTTGGGGGATCACTTTGCGCACAGCCTATAGAGATCTGGACACAGAGACTAATTGAATGGTCCAGAGGTTCTACTGTTCATGATTCAGATGCTGAGTTGCTTCTTTGTCTCCAAAGCAGCTTCGAAGCATTGGATAAAGAAATGGCTATTATTAAGGAATGTTTCTTAGACCTGGGTTTGTTTCCCGAAGACCAAAGAATCCCTGCTGCTGCCCTCATTGATATATGGACAGAGTTATATGATCTAGATGAAGATGCAGAGTGCATTGCAAACCTCTACAAGCTCTCCTATCGAAGTCTCGCTAATCTTGTAGTCGCAAGGTGTTCATGCTTCTGTCTTTCTCTTGTATGATATTTTCGCTCTATATTTTTCTATTCATGTACTAGTTGCTGCTGATAACTTGTTATTGCAATATGTTTTCTGAAGAAATCTCTTGTAAGTAACTTAGTTTTGATCATCACCAGGAAGGAAAAGGTGGAGAAGGTGGAGAAGGTGGAGAAGGAGGAGAAGAAGGAGAAGGTGGAGAAGAAGGAGGGGAATCAGTACTACAGTGAACACTTTGTTACCCAACATGATATTCTTAGAGAGCTGGCTATCTACTACTCAAAACAAGAACCAGTAGAACAGAGAACAAGGCTGATTATTGACATATGTGGTAACAAACTTCCCAGGTGGTGGAGAGAACAGAAGCATCAACTGATGAAGGCCCGCCTATTATCTATCTCAACAACTGGTTGTCCCATCTGTCTCTTTAGCAACTACACATATACATGCTTGCACTAGGCATACACACATTAAGTCTGTATAGTACTTCCATATTAGTTTCACCTCACACTCACATCAATTAGCACGTTGTTACTTTGCAGACGGACTGTTTCCAAAAAAAGTGCACAACATGCAAGTACCAGACATTGAGGTTCTAGTCTTGAATTTCCGGACAAACAACTATGCCTTACCCGAATCTGTGGAGAACATGGATAAATTGAAGGCTTTAATAGTCACAAATTATGGTTTCTTACCTGCTGAGTTAAGCAACTTTCAACTTCTGAGTTTGATATCGAATTTAAAGAGAATCAGATTAGAACGCATCTCAGTTCTTTCCATAACCAAGAACCCCATAGAATTGAAGAGTCTGCAGACGATATCCTTGTTCATGTGTAATATCGGTCAAGCTTTCAGCAACTGCTCCATCCCAATCTCATCAGCATTCCCGAATCTAGAGGAAATGAACATTGACTATTGCGATGATCTGGTGGAATTGCCTGCCGACCTCTGTGATCTTATTCGACTAAAGAAGCTCAGCATCACTAACTGTCATAAGCTATCTGCCTTGCCTGAAGAGATTGGGAAGCTGGTCAACTTAGAAGTGTTGAGGCTAAGGTGCTGCACAGACTTGGTAAAACTTCCTGGCTCCATTAAGTACCTCACTAGGTTACACTTTCTTGACATATATAAATGTTTCAGCATTAAGGAATTGCCTGAAAAGATTGGTGAATTGAGTGGTTTAGAAACAATCAACATGGGACAATGCTCAAGATTGCAAGAGTTGCCTGTATCAGTTTTGAATCTTGGGAAGTTACAAGAAGTGATATGCGATGAAGAGACAGAAATATTATGGGGGGAACCTTTCAAATCCCATCTCACAAAGATAAAGATATCGGTGGTAAAAGTAGACTACACCCTGAATTGGCTCCACAATCTTTGAGAGCTGACTGTCCTTAATAAACGTATGTTGGGGCAATGTCTGTGTGATTTGTGTTTCAATTTTTCATTTTCCTAGTTTTCTTCTCTTTAATTTCTTATGAGGAAAGACAGAGGAGGGTAGGGGCTACCCTTCCTTGTGCGAAAGAAGTATACAGTAAAGAAGACAATAGTCTACCATTCTTCTTGGAAAAAATTAAAAGCTGTAAACTCCAATTTAGTCGCAATGCTAAAATATTAATTGAATCCACCTAATATGTGCTTCAAATTGCTAAGTTTGTTTCGTTTATGATTTTGGCTTTGACTTTCAAGTATAAAATTAGACGGAAAGAAAGAAATAAAAATAATAATTGATTCGTTTGTTTTGACTTTCAAGTATAAAATTAGAGGTTTTCTATTTAAACCCCTACACCTCTTTTTGTTCACTCAATAGAACAAAGAGAAGTGTGGGGTTTAAATAGTAAAAACTCTAAAATTATTGTGTTATCATTTCACAATTAGATAATTTAGATTTGAGAAGTGTGTAAATACAAATTTTAGAAAATGAAAATTGACCTAAACCATTATAATAAAAAAAAGGTTTGAGTTTAGGCATAAAGTAACGGCACCACTTCATGATTGATGATTGGTTAGTTCGCGCGTGGCCTACTATGTAAATTTCTGCATCTGGTTATAAGTTTGTTTGATTACTTTACCTTTTGTCTTTATGTCTTTGTCTTTTTTGTTTAAACTTGTCCTCACAAAAGTACAATTTCTGGTTGGCCACTACCTGCAATTTCTGGGAGGTTAGTTTTCTCACCATGAAAGTTTCCTAGAAACGTTGACCCAATTGCCCGTTGATCTCAACCAGTCAATAGAAATTTCCACCGAGCTTCGCAGATCAGTAACATCATTTCTGAAATTCTTCTTTATCTTATCTTGCATATAAGCCAATAAAGAAAGAGAAAGCTGAGCTCTGTATTTCCTGCTTTTGAGTCTCTGGTTTACTCTGTTTCTTGGGCTCTGAACTTATTGGCTTCCAAGTTTAGAGGTAACTTAAAAAAGTTGTCTGATTTTGGTGTTGGGTTTTGTTGCTAAGGATCAAGAATGGGAGGACCAGATTTTGGAGGGGCTGGTCTAGGAGCACTGTTTAATATGTTGTATGATGGCCTCAAGGAGCTGATCGGCAAGAATGTCATATATAAACCCCTCCTCAAAGCCATCAAATCAAGGTTAGACTGCTTACACCCATTGATCAAAGATATAGAACAACACAACAAGGATTTGGATCTCCCAGATAAGGAACTAGAAAATCTGAAAGTAGAGATGGCGAAGGGCATAGAGCTGGTCCACAAGTGCTCAAAGATTCGTGCGTGGAACATCTATAAAAAGTACAAATATGCCAACAAACTTCTTGATTGGAACGAATCTCTTCAAGGGCTTTTAGATATGCTGAATGTGCAGGGCATAAGGGATGTGAAGGGGAGCTCGGTTTCGGTGAGGAACATAGAGAAGGTGGTCAGCCGAATTGAATCAAGTTTGGTGTTACAAAATCAAGCTGAGACTGAAGTTTGGGGTGCAGCACCTGAACTTCCGGCGCTTGTAGTTGGGTTGGATTTTCCTTTGAAGGAGTTGAAGAGGAAGCTTCTTAATCTTAAAGATGGGGTGTCAATGCTTGTTCTGACTGCTCCTGGAGGATGTGGCAAGACCACTTTGGCAACAGCATTTTGTCAAGATCAGGAAGTCAAAGGTATCTTTTATTCCTTTTCAATTGTGAGCTTTGATCAAGAGTTGGCCTTATATACACATATTTGCTAGGAACATGTTTTCTTGAGAAAATTGCCACACACATTTCTTACTTTTTGGATATACTAGGTCTGCAATTATATGTGTTTAATCTTTGTACAACCATAGACAGATTTGAAAGAGACCTTAATGACAGCATTCCTGTATTTTCTTTGGATAGATACATTCGGGGACAATATCTTCTTTGTCACTGTTTCAAGCAACCCCAACTTGGAACGTATTGTTCAAGAACTTCATCAACGCAGGGGTTCCAAAGTACCTACTGTTGGAAACGAAGTAAATACAGTTAAGTGGCTGCACCATTTTCTCAAGGAACAAGGACAAAATCCTTTACTGTTGGTCCTGGATGATGTTTGGTCTGGATCAGAATCTCTTCTGGAGAAGTTTGATCAATTTAAAATGCCAAATTACAAGCTTTTGGTGACATCAAGGTCTGAGTTTCGGGGATTTGGCTCTCCATATTCTTTACAGTCATTGGATTATCACAATGCAATGAAACTTTTTCATCATTCAGCATCCTTGGGAGATAAGAGCTCTCATATTCCACAAGATCTTTCAAGACAGGTACTTTTTAGTTGCAATGCACATTTTTAGCTATTTACAAATTTTCCCATCTTCATGAAATCATTGAGATGATTTTCAGAGACCTGAATTTTGGTATGTGACTTCATTTTCGAAAATTGAACTGCAGATGGTAGAGCGTTGTAAGGGATTTCCACTTGCCATTAAAGTGCTTGGGAGATCACTTTGCGGGGAGCCTATAGAGATCTGGAAAAAGAGAGTAATTGAATGGTCTAGAGGTTCTACTGTTCATGATTCAGAGGCTGAGTTGCTTCTTTGTCTCCAAAGCAGCTTAGAAGCTTTGGATAAAGAAATGGCTATCATAAAGGAATGTTTCTTAGACCTGGGTTCATTTCCTGAAGACCAAAGAATCCCTGCTGCTGCACTCATTGATATATGGGAAGAGTTATATGATCTAGATGAAGACACAGAGTGCATTGCAAACCTCTACGAGCTCACCAAGCGAAGTCTCGCTAATCTTGTAGTCACAAGGTGTGCCTGCTTCTATTTTTCTCTTATATGATATTTTCACTCTATTTTTCCTATTCACCACTAGTTGCTGCTGCCAATATCTTGTTATTGCAATATGTTATCTGAAGAAATCTCTTTTAAGTAACTTAGTTTTGATCATCACTAGGAAGGAAAAGGTGGAGGGGGATGAGTACTACAGTGAATACTTTGTTACCCAACATGATATTCTTAGAGAGCTAGCTATCTACTACTCAAAACTAGAACCAGCAGCAGAACAGAGAACAAGACTGATTATAGACATATGTGGAAACAAACTTCCCAAGTGGTGGAGAGAACAGAAGCATCAATTGATGAAGGCTCGCCTGTTATCTATCTCAACTGGTTATCCCATCTCTCTCTTTAGCAATTACGCATACATGCAGACATTAAGTCTTTTTAGTAGTTTCGTATTAATTTCATCCCACACTCACATCAATTAGCATGTTGTTACTTTGCAGACGGTGTATTTTCAGGAAAATGGCACAACATGCAAGTACCAGAAGTTGAGGTTCTAGTCTTGAATTTCCAGACAGAGAACTATGCCTTACCCGAATCTGTGGAGAACATGGATAAATTGAAGGCTTTAATAGTCACAAATTATGGTTTCTTACCAGCTGAGTTAAGTAACTTTCAACTTTTGAGCTCGTTATTGAATTTGAAGAGAATCAGATTAGAACGCATCTCAATTCTTTCCATAACCAAGAACCCCATAGAATTGAAGAGTCTGCAGAAGATATCCTTGTACATGTGCAATATCGGTCAAGCTTTCAGCAACTGCTCCATCCCAATCTCATCAGCATTCCCGAATATAGAGGAAATGAACATTGACTATTGCCATGATTTGGTGGAATTGCCTGCCGAGCTCTGTGGTCTTAGTCAACTAAAGAAGCTCAGTGTCACCAATTGTCATAAGCTATCTGCCTTGCCTGAAGGGATTGGAAAGTTGACCAAGTTAGAAGTGTTGAGGCTAAAATCCTGTACAGACCTAGTAAAACTTCCAGGCTCGATGAAGAACCTCAAAAAGTTAGACTTTCTTGACATATCTGATTGCTTCAGCATTAGGGAGTTGCCTGAAGACATTGGTGACATAAGCAATTTAAGAAAGATCAACATGAGACAGTGCTCAAGGTTGGAAGAGTTACCTCTATCTGTTTTGGATCTTGAGCAGTTAAGGGAAGTGATCTGTGATGAAGAGACAAAATATTTATGGGAATCTTTCTCGTCTCACCTAAAAAACGTAAGCATAGTTGTGGCCAAAGAAAATATCAATCTTAATTGGCTCCACCACACTCAAACGTAAGCATGAGACAGTGCTCAAGGTTGTGTGATTTGTTTTTCATTATTTTCCTATTTTCCCTGTCTTTTTTTTTTTTCAATGTTTTCCTTCTGTTTTTGTAAATAGAATGAGATATTGCAGGTAAAATCAATGTAATAAACCAACTGTGCAATACTTTGACACTTTCCTTTTTTAATCCTAATTTCAGATGCATTGTCAAATTTAGAGAAATTGAATATTGAGCACTGCGATGAATTGGTCTCAAACTATGTTCTTCATCAAATAAAGTTTGATTTGTCTTGTTCAAAATTATCCCTAAAATAATCTTCTTCTAGATATATACTTGATCAACTTAGAATTGAACTGTTCTTGTTCAAGCACGTAATAGTTGAAACAAGAAAGAACATAATCAAATAACTTTTCTTGCTCCAAATGTAATCCAAATAAATGGTTAATCATTTTATTAGTCCCTAAACTTAGACCTAACTTGCATTTGAGTCCCTCAATTTCCAAAATGGTTCCTGTAATCTTTTAACTTCACTTTCGTTAGGACAAACGGTCCTGCTGTCAATTTTGTTAACTTTTTCTGTTAAATGCATGGGCAAAATGGTGTTTTTATGTTAAAACCAAAAAAATGAATAAAAAATCATATCTTTAAAATAACAATAAAAGAAAATCAAATGAAAAACCAACCAAAAAAAAAAGGAAAAATCAAGTTTGGGGGAGTAGAAATCGGAATAGAAGGGGAGAAAGAGAGTTTAATTTTAATTTTTTATTCATATTTTAATCAATTTTGATACAAAAATACCATTTTGCCCTTGTATTTATCAGAAAAGTTAACAAAATTGACGGCAAGACCATTTGTCCTAACGAAACTGAAGTTGACGGACCACGGGAACCATTTTGAAAATTGAGGTACTCAAATGGAAATTGGGTCTAAGTTCAGGAACTAATAAAACGATTAACCCTCCAAATAAATAATCGTACATTAAAAAGGATATAATTTCTTGTATGAACCAATGAAGTTATGGTACAAAACTTTTGAATTTGAAAACTCACAAAGAGAAATTGTACTTGTAATACATAAGAAATTTATTAAACCACATTGATGTTTTCGTGCTTT